CTCTCTCTCTCTCTCTCTCTCTCTCTCTCTCTCTCTCTCTCTCTCTCTCTCCTTTCTGATTACCATGTGAGCTGCTTCGCTCCACCACACTCTTTCACCATGATGTTCTCAAGCCCCAAGGAATGGAGATGGCCTTCTATGAACTAAGACCTCTGAAACCGTGACCGTGTGCTCTTATATAAATTTTTCCTCTTTTAATATTGCTCTGGTCAAATCTTTTAGTCACAGCAGCAAAAAAGCGGACTAAAACATACATGTACAAAGGAAATCCTTACAAACATTGGAAGAGAAAATGAAGTTAAAAAATAAAAAGGAAAAGGGAACACTAATACATAGATACTATAGAATATGTAGTCCACATCCTGCCAGTCCTCTTTTCATATTTTTCTTAGTTCTAGTCCAAATGTCTCATACTTTTTCTCTTCAAACTCCTTAGAAGCTTTTACAGCTGTGTTCAATACTCAAAGAAAATTTCACAGCATATCCATCTCTTTCTTTAGTAGGTAAAAACCATGTTATTATTTGGATGTGAGGAAGAGAATAACAAAGCTGTTTTAGGGTAAGAATGATGCGTATTCTGATAGACTACTAGTGTGGAGACTTCAAGATTCACTTATATGTCCTGATCTTTGGGGCTTCATGAAGAATAAAACCAAAATTACTGATTTTAAATTTATAATTCATGAGCTAATTACTAGACCACAAGCCAAAATATTTTTGACTCTTAATAGTGTTGTGCTTGGCATATTTCTGCAGCATTTAGACATGAATTTTGCAGAACAGCAAAGATAAGCCTAAAGTCATTTTCAATATTGAAAAAAAACTAAGGAAGATCTATTTTCCAAGATTCACATTGAAAAAGAGAACTCTATCTAGAAATAAATTTAATGARCATACTTACTTGTTAAAATACATAAAAGAAAAAGATATTCTGTGTAAGAAATCACACCTAGAAGAAAAATAGTATCAATTATGCTATATACAATATTACTTATCCTCTTATGTATTAAATTAAAATATTCTACTAGCAAAAGACATTGTAAATAAGCAGATGCTAACTATTGTTTTAAAGGAGATTAAGCTATATAAAAAAACTGCAAAAGAAGCAGCAAAATTAATTTTAATTTAGTTGTTCCACAGACCACTTTGGAAACATATATAAAATTCCCATTAATGCTCTCAAATATATTGGCAAAAAAGGGGAAAATTATAATTTCACTTATAGTTGTAATTTTTAAACTTATGCTATTTTTCCATGTATGAATCTAACATGAAACTAAAAAAGGCAGAAATGGTTAATATTTCGAAAAGCTTTATTAATATTTAGTAACACTTGGATAAAACATTAAGACATCCTTCCTTAGAAACCCAATTTTTATACTGCATTCAAAAAATAAGACTTATAGTCACCAGTTTCCTGCTGTCTAATTATCATTCATTATTTTTGAAAAATAATATTTAAATGTACAYTTAAGAAATTTTTAATTTAATTTAATGGATTACACTTTATGTACCCTGCACCCTGAGTTTTCTGTAGCCCCATAATTAACTTTAAAAGGAGTCTGTTTGAAGTAAATAAAAGTATACATTGTTACTTGAATTCTTACTTTTGGACTAGAACACCCGAAACTAGAGTTAATGGTTTAATTGATCATCTAAGTAAAATACTAAGAAAATCATAATCAGAAATAAGTCTGCATTATTTATCTAAATAGCAGATAGTTTTGATGTTTAGTTAAAGGGTATTAAAAAATCTTTAATCAGATTGTGAACTTTAAAGCTTCCATTTTATCTGATGTTCTTTGAGACTACTCTCTTTGTTACAGAACAAAGAGAAGAGAAGCCTCTTAAGGCAGTTTGTCAGAGACATGAAGGGAACTAGCCAGGAAGCTCTGAAAGCATTCTCTTCTTTTGTTTATACTAGAACATGGTGACCTATGGACAGATAGTTCTGGTTGATTTCCATGAATGTTATGGGAGAAAGATTCTGAAATGGTCAATGTATATAAAGATACAATACTTAGATTCTGTAGAGAACACTCAAAAAAAAAAAAAAAAAGAAAAAAGAAAAAGAAAAAACAAATGCCAAATGCAAGAGGAAAAAAGAGAAATGGGACTTGTTACCTCTATCATCCTATCTCATTGTTCTAATTCACCTGGTGGAGTACACAAGACTTGCTGGTTGGTAAAAAGAATTTTAATAACTACTATGCAATGTGTATTTGACAGTAAATTTAAGATTACCCTCAAAGTGAGAATTACTTAATAGTGTTGAAGTCTTGATTATGGTAAGCATCTGTCTGTAGGGCTACATGCTTACTAAGGTGGCTTAATCTATAGGGAAGAAAAACAAAATGAAACTAATGATGTAATTTAATAAAAATGGTCAAGAATAACTGAAAATATTGCTGAATAGGAATTATAGATTCTTAATGCCTTCCAATAATAAAAATGGAAAAGTTTATAGACAAACCTTTCACTTTATTCAAGGTTACTCAGGATAAATAAATAAACAAATAAATGTGTGTATGCGTGTGTGTGTGTGTGTGTGTGTGTATTTTAAACACTAAGCATATAGTAGTGATACAATCTTTAGAAACAGGATAAGATGTCAACTCGGTTTCTTCTGAGAATTCAATAAAAAAAGTTTAAAGAAAGTTCCTTGAGGGGCTGAGGCTGTAGCTCTGTGGTAAAGTGCTTTCCTCACATGGGTGAGGTACTGGGTTCAAGCCTCAGCACCACATAAATAAATAAAGATACTGTGTGTTCATATACAACTAAATAAATGTTTTTTTTTTTAAAGAAAGCTCCTTAAAAAGCTGTTTAATTCCTGTATCACGATACATTATAGCTGGCTGTTATAACTAAGTCTATGTAACACGTTTTTATAAATACTGTATATTTCAGGGTTTTTTTCCTTATTGGGTAATATTTCAAGCAGATGAGCTTCTTCATTTTAAAATTAATCTTAAATAGCTCTAAAGATTTACGTTTATAATTGCCCTGCCATTTAATCTCTGGGAGAAAAGAAAAAAGGCAAGTATCTCTGAGTTTCTCTACTTCACCTAGTCTCATGGCTCTAAAGCTTATTGAATCATAAATTGTCTTGACAATCTGAAGCATATGACATAGATACAAACTATCCTAGAAGGCAGTCATTGAATAAGTGCAATTATTTAAATTTAAATTAATCAAAGTCAAAYAAAACTGAAAATTCAGTTTTTCAGTTTTGATTTATGCTAGCCACATCTAAAGTGCYCAATGGCAACATCTGGCAGTGGATATCATAAGAAACAGCATAGAAGTAGAATGCTTTCTCCACTACAGATAGTTCTATTTAAGCAGTACTGCATAAATGCTCTCCCTGAAAAGAAGAGAAATAGAAATATGCATATAACATGAGGAATATTAGGACATGCCTAAATTTAGGGCTTTCAGATTAAAGCTTTTCCTTAGCTAAAAAGAATTTCCTTTTTCTCTGCATTTTTTTCTGATTATGTCTGACTAGAATTATCTGTTCTTTCTGAGTTTTGAACATTACTRATCCTATCATCTTACCCTGTAATCTGTATGATAGTTTTTGAGACAACTTCCAGAAAAAAAATTTTTAGACTGTTTAAAGACAATTTGGCCCACGTTTCTCAAATATTTAAAAACCATAGTTATGTAAACTCTTAGCTGTTGCTTCCTTTTTAATTTTTTTATGTTGAGACAGAGTCTCAATAACTTGTGGAAGGTCTTGCTAAATTACCCAGGCCATCCTTAAACTTGCAATCCTCCTGCCTCAGCCTCCCAAGACGCTGGGATGAAAAGTGTTTACCAACACACCCAGCAGAAATTTGAATTTCTAATTCTACTTCAAGTATATGAATTATAACTATATTCCTTCAAAGTATTTATCTTTAAGCTACGATAAGTATAATATTTTCAAACCAATATTGATTAGCAAAGATGAAAAAGGAAAAGATAACTGTTCATTTAATTTTTTTGCATATTCTTTTATTTAAAAATCTAAACAAGTATGTGTCATTTCTTTTTAAGRTTAAAGGTTATTTAAGGTTTAATATGCATRTATTTCATTAACTAATTTTTCCATAAATGTGTACAAAAAGTATGTTGTGAAAGAAAACTGCAATAAAAGCCATGTAATAGGATTCCAAGCAAATTAATTTAGATATAAGATAATAATAATAGAGTAAATTAAGCAGGTGGATTTTGTAAATTTGGCTGCCAAAAGACATGTCTGATAAGTTTTTAATAGTGATTAAATTCAGGAATATCCATAATTCCTTAGAAGCAAAATGAAAGGAAGAAAAATAGATACTTGAAGATCTATTATTTTTAGCTTTTTTTAAAAAAAAAATTTCTTTCTTTTGTAATACTGGGGATTAAATACAGGGCATCATGCAATTTAGGTGAGTGCTCTACAACTGAGCTACATCAATAGCTCAAGATCTAATTCTTTGAAGCATGCTTTATATTGTGGTAAATATAACTTGTGCTTTTCAACATGGTTTTTTAAAAAGTATTTTTTTAAATTATGAAAGTTCATTCTGTCATTAAAAAATATGGAAGATTAAGTAATATACGTAAAAAAGATAACATAAAAACAACYACCCGTACCACCCGTAATCATGCCACCAAAAATAACATTACTATCCAAAAGCATTCATGTTTTGGTGTTTTAGTTTTCAGATTTTTCTCTATATATTATATACATATATGCAATTTTAAAAATTACTACAGGTATGGGAGAAATATACACACATGAATAGTGTAATCAGCAGTGTCAATATTAAAATGTGTAAGTACTCAATTAACTTACCTCTTTCTTTAAGATTTCGAAATAGCTTTGATGATCCCTTCCAAACTGGTGGTGTTTCTGAAAGCATTTGATTTAATTCCTATGACAGAAGGTGTCATATATGTAAATACTTTCTTAAAAAATAGAGTTAAAAAGTTGAATGTTCAAGCAAAAAAAATCATTTAAAAGACCTGAAATGTGGTATATTTATCCTATTTTTGTCCTGCAGTTTATTCAACCACAAAATAATAATATTTGCCCACAGTGCAAATATAAAATAAATGATAAAGATCCTATAATGAATTAGAGCTACTCAAAATTTCAGATAAGTAACTGGAGTTATATATAGATAAGATAACCATATCAAGATAAAACAGTAAGTTTAAGTTCTGGAGTCAGTTATAAAGGAATAGTTTTATGAAAGCCATATGGATTTCTTCATCAAGGTCAATATGATAATCTGGCCTCATATTGTTCTTTTCAGCATTACTGGATTGAGGGGGTTTTGAGCAGAGGAGATTAATAAAGGAATATGCTAAAAAGGAATGAAGAGTATTTTTATGGTGACTCAAAGAATAAGGACAACTGATAAAGTGGAAAGACAGGGATATTGAGTTGTGACAGTTTCAAATTTTTTCAGRTTTTAATTTAAATAGGAAAGAACACAGACTCAACTGCTACCTGGTCAGCTTTAAAAAACAAAAAACAAAAACATACTGCTGGTGGGATATTATTAAAGAATTTAAATGTTTGTATCATTGCTCATGTAACAATTTTGAATTATTGTGCATACTTCGTAAAAATTACTAAATAAAAACTGTAATTTGATTAATTRTAAAGAATACTGATTAAAGGATTTGGTAAGATAACAGACTTATCTGAAATTTAAAAACCACTCTGCTTAGTAACACATTAAACAAAAAAAAAAAGAAACAGAGACCACTTCTATTTCTATATCTGATCCCTCTTACTCAAACTGTGTGGTTCACCCACAATCTGGATGTTACCTGGGAACTTGTTAAGAACGAATTTCCATTCCTATATCCAGACCTACTGAATCAGACTGTTTTTTCACATATCTCCAGGAAATTTGGGGCATATGCAGGTTTCAGAAACACTTCAAATAAATACTTCCTGATGTGGCAGTATCCGAAAATACTCTGTGGTATTTATAAATGATCATTGTTTTCCGAAAACTTTGAGGAATTAAGATTTATTAAAATTTTTATATTTTGATTCATGATGAGAATCTCTCTCCTTATCCCCAGGGCCTACCTTGTTCTCTTGTATGTAGCAGTGCTATATAAAAAGTTAACTTGACTGACTTTTGACCCTGGCCCCTGGGAGGGAGACTATAAATCTTGGATCACACTTGACTTTATGCTAAGGAAATGATTCAGGATGGGATCTGATCACCAGAAAGAACACTATGATTTGAAGTGACCCWGGCATAATGTCTTGAGAGGAAAAGGAATAGAAATTGAGTTCAATTATACATATGGTCAATGATTCAAATAATCATACTAGGTCATAAAACCCCAAGAAAAGATCTGGATACCAAGCTCAGTGGAGCTTTCAGGTTGGTGAACACCCCCTGATTTCTCAGGAAGAGGGCAAAAAAAGCTCTTTGTCAGGTCCCTCCCAGACCTAACCCTTTGTCTCTTCATCTGACTGGTCTTAATTTGTATTTTTTGTAATAAAACTGTAATCATTAGCATAGCATTTTTCTGAGTTCCATTAAACCTAAGGGGAATTGTGGTAAGGAACTGTGGCAAACCCCTGGTTTTGTAGGTCAGAAATATGGTGCCTGGAGATCCCTGAACTTGCAGCAAGCATCTGAAATGAAGGCAGTCTCATTGGGTACTATGCCTTTATATAATCTCTTGGTGATTAGTGTCAGAATTAAACTGCAGTATTGCAAGAAGTATTGAATATATGTTTTCTAAGTTAAATTAAGTTTCCCAAAATTACAGATGCTTTTTAAGGTATTTATACAACCTTCTCAAATGAGTACAGTTTTTTTTAAATTATACAGTTAATACATATACATCATAGGAAAATTAGTAAGCATAGATAAGAAAAAATAATTACGATCCAAGATAAACACATGTAAGCTTTAATATTCTTTTTATCTGATTCTGTAGCTGGAAATCCTTATATAGCATTTGTTATTGCAAATATTAAATCTTCCTCCTTTTATTATTTTGGAATGTCCTCTTTTTAGTCCATATATTGTGGGCATATTTTCCTATCAAATATTCTTCATTTTCATATTAATGGCTTCATAGCAGTTGTCTATAATAGTAGTTCTAAAATTCATCTCTTTACATACTTAAAAAGACATATGGTTTATATGGGTAAATCTATTTTAAAGTAAAAACAAAAATTTTTTAAAGCACAAGAATACACAAGCATACATTCCATTAGCTGTCAGAGCAATGACGTCATCACTCATCATGCAGCCTCTTAGAAAAATCTACACTCTGAAGGAGTAAGAGTAAATAAAACAAGTATCTTTTCAGCATTATAATGAAAATGACTTGGACCACATACATCCTTGAAAAGGTCATTGTATTTAAAGAACTACAGTCTATATTATTCTACAACTTGTCATTTTGCTTATCCTTGTATTTTCTAGGTCTATTCACTTCAATATATGTAGCTCTAACGTATTTATTTATCTTAATTCTATATTACTATATTTATCTTTGGTATGTCTGTTTTACAATTCTTTTTATCCATTCCTCTAATGACTGACATTTATATGGTTTCTAAATTCTGTTGGAATTTTTGTTAGTGTTGCACTAAATTTATGGATAAATTTGGAGGAAACCAGTATCATTATGAGATAGCTTATTGTCATCCATGAATATGATGCTCCATTTATTCATGTCTTTTTTTCTTTCTTTTCTTTTTTTTTTTTTTTTTGATTTGGTACTAGGGATTGAATACACCCAGGGGCACTTAACCACTGAGTCACATCCCCAGCCCTTTTTGTTATTTTATTTTGAGATAGGTTCTCTCTCCCAAAGTTGCTGAAGCTATCTTTGAATTGGCAATCCTCCTGCTTCAACCTCCCAGACTGCTGGGATTACAGGTGTGTGTTATAACGCCCAGCTCATTTACTCTTGTCTTTTTAAAAATGTGACTTAATAACTTCTTCCACGCTTTCTATTATTACACTTTTAAGTATATAATAATTCTTGTGAAATTCATTTATTTGATAATAATTTCTAATTGCCACTGCTATGGCAGAAGCCCCAAACCAGCACGTTAATTAACTTTGGTTCACTCATCTTACATTCAATAATAACCTTGAATTTATCTGAATAAATCTCTGCATTTTTAAATTTTTCTCTCAGGCATATTATTTGCTACTATTCCAATCATTGGATCCTTTCTTTTTTTTCCCCCTTTGTCATTTTACATGTTATGGCCTGAATTGTGTCCTCCTTCCCCCCAAATTCATATGTAAAGTCCTAATTCCCAATATTTCAGAATCTGGCTATATTGGAGAGGTATCCTTTAAAGGTAATTGTATGAGGTGGCCCTAATCTGATATGACCAGTGTCCTTATAAAAAGAGATTAGAACACAGACATGCACAGAGGAACGACTATGTGAAGATAGAGGGAGAATACAGCCATCTAGAGCCAAGGAAAGAGGCCTCAGAAGAAAATGACCTGTTGATGCCCAGATTTTAGACTTCTAGCTTCCAGAACTGTGAGAAAATAAATGCCTGATAAGTTACTCAGTCTGTGCTACTTTGTTATGGCAARCTAGAAATATAAGCTAATGAGATGTAATACTTTGCCAGGCCTCTAATAAAATGTAGTGAAATAGTTGTGATAGCAGGTATATTTTTATTATATCTGACTTTAAAGAAAATGTCTCTAATGTTTCACCAGAAAAATGTGTCAATTGCCATAGGCTTTTGAGGATTCCCTTTAGTTAAGGAAATTAGAAATGACTAAATCAAAAAAGAGAAAATTATAAGTACATTAGTAGTCTCTCTAAGCCCCTCACTGATGATGTTACCCTTTACCTCCCCTAGAAGTAAAGGACATCTTGAATTTTATGTTAATCATTTCTCAGTCTTCCCACCTATGAATGCAATCCTAAGTAATATGGATTTACTTTCCCAGTTTGGGACTTTATGTAAATAGGATTATATTTCTTATGTGAATTGCTTATTTTGTTTATCATTACATTTCACTGAGGTTCATTTAGTTATAGCATTACTACAATGCCTTTTTTCATTATTCTATACTACTTACCATATGATTATATCAAAATTTATATGTCTACTATTAATATTTATGTTATTTTATGCCATTATGAACAATCTACCAACATTTTTGTGAACCTCTCCTGCATATAAGCAATGGTTTCTCTAGTTATACACACAGGTGTGAAATTAATGGGTCATAAAGGACATTCAAGTTTAACTTTACTAGGTACATGTGTATGCATTGCTATAGAATTTAAACGCAGGCATGTAATTGCAAAGTTCAGGGTGTATATTATCTTTAATTTCATCAGATAATACCAAATTGTTTTCAGAATAGGAGTATACCAATTTACATTTACAAATGATATTTACCATTGAGCTATAGCTTTACTAGTCCTTGGAATTCCTACCTTTTTTATTTTCTGACAATATGGAGGATAAAAAAAAAGAGTACCATGATGTGATTTTAATTTAAAAAATATATATAAATACATGTGTGTGTATGTGTGTGTTTGTATGCATGTGTATATGAATATGCATGCATATGGATACCAAGAGCTTTAACTTACCTGTTTGGATAGCGACTTCCATGTTTTAGCAACTAAAATAAATATAAAATAATTAGATAATAAATACTCCATGTAATGTATATCCATATTCAGTAGCCATCTACAAGCATAACTCAAAGCCAGGCTTCTATGTCCAAAAAGCAAGGGTTTTTAAATCTCAAGATCTGAATTTAAGGTATGATCTTATCTGTTTCATGTACTACAAACTGTTCATAATAAATTTTATCAGTAGAATAGGAAATATTTTTCCATAACGAGATTGTTTTAGTTTGGTGATTCCTAAATATATTATTTTTTATTGATTAAAAAAATAAATTACAGCAGAATGCATTACTATTCTTATTACACATATATAGCACAATTTTTCATGTCTCTGGTTGTATATAAAGTATGTTGACACCAATTCGTGTCTTCTTACACATCTCTAGCAATTAGAGAAATGCAAATCAAAACTACTCTAAGAAATCATCTCACTCCAGTCAGAATGGCAGCTATTATGAAGACAAACAACAACAAGTGTTGGGGAGGATGTGGCGAAAAAGGTACACTCATACATTGCTGGTGGGACTGCAAATTGGTGCAGCCAATATGGAAAGTATTATGGAGTTCCTTGGAAATCTAAGAATGCAACCACCATTTGACCCAGCTATCCCTCTCCTCGGGCTATACCCAAAGGACTTAAAATCAGCATACTACAGGGACACAGCCACATCAATGTTTATAGCAGCACAATTCACAATAACTAAACTGTGGAACCAACCTAGACGCCTTTCAGTAGATGAATGGATAAAAAAAAATATGGCATATATATACAATGGAATTTTATTCAGCAATAAAAGAGAATAAAATCATGGCATTTGCAGGCAAATGCATGGCGTTGGAGAAGATAATGCTAAGTGAAGTTAGCCAATCCCCAAAAACCAAATGCCAAATGTTTTCTCTGATATAAGGAGGCTGATTCATAGTAGGATAGAGAGGGGGAGCATGGGAGAAATAGATGAACTCTAGATAGGGCTGAGGGGTGGGAGGGAAAAGGAGGTGGCAGGGTGATGGATTCCTGGATTTATAAGAAAGTAAATTTATTCCATATTAAACATGTTATGAGATTAAAAGCACAAATAATAATATTCATAAAATATTCATATAGGAATAAGACATATTAATATTCCTGAAAATAATTCATAGATAAGATCTCTCTAGCACAAAGAAGGATATGGGGAAAGAGAAAAAGAGATGACAGAGCAGGTAAAGTAAGAGGGAAACTCTTATCGTGTTTTTTCATTCTTCTTTGCTACAGCTACTTAAGAAACATCTTGGAACACTAGTATTGTAGTTGAATAAAACATTTGGGATCACTTCCTTTTTCTATTTCCTCTTCACACCCCTGAAAATTGCAAGCATTATAAAACTTATGTTCAATCAGTATTGTTGTTTTTTTTGTTGTTTTTTGTTCATATTTGAACATTATAAATATGTAATGCCTGCCTAAGAATTATTTCCAAATTGAGTAAGTCTTATAACAGCTGCATTAAGAAAACTGGTATATATTATTTTAGCTTTATTACACTGATGACAACCAATCATTGTTTCTATATTGAATGGAGCAATGTATAATTAACAATACAGCAAATTAAAAATTACAAGAAAGGTACTTTTCTTTTGCTATGCAACTCTTTTTAAGGCAATATAACAACTCATTTTAAGACCAAAGAGAAGAAATAAGCTTCTAAACTTTGACAAAATAATTTTCATGGAGATAGATTTCTATGTCATAATAACATTCTTCCTTTACCAAAGATAGTATATAAAAACATGTAATCAAATGATTAAAATCACAGGCTGTAAATTAAAATTTAGCAATAACATTAACCATAAGACTATATATATTCATTTAACAATGCCACTTTGCTTTTTAACAATGAAAAAAGAACAGATATAATATTTATGATTCTGTTGCTCTTAAAATATACCCATAAAACAAAGAAAGAAAAATGAATGGTGCAAAAGYACATGCACATGTTCATAAGCTATTTATCAAAAGAGGAAGTTAGACATACTCTTGAGTTTTGTAGGGTTTATGAGATTACCACAGTAAATTATTCACAAAAGATATATTCATTCTGCTGGAAATGTTCCATGTTCAATATTATTAGCTTTTGTAAAAATAAAAAGATTAAAGAGCCATTAAGGCTGTTCTTCAAAGGATTTTCTGACTTTCTAAATTCATTTATCTCATATGAAATTACTACATATGTAAATATAACTTAGGTGGAGAGAAAAGACTTAAATTCTATTGGAAATATTTTATTTCTTAAGGTATAGTTTATGTTCTTTACATTTAATATTATATGTATGAAATATTTTTAAAACAATACATTTTTAAAAATCTAAATTAAGGGCTGGGGTTGTAGCTCAGTGGTAGAGCACTTGCCTCGCACAYGTGAGGCCCTGAGTTTGATCCTCAGCACCACCTAAAAATAAACAAATAAAAATGGGGATATTGTGTCCCTACAACTAAAAAAAAAAAAAAATTGAAAAAAATCTAAATTAATAATTCTTGATGTATAAAAGTAATCAATTACTAGTTGTAGTTCTAAATATGAAATTCACCTGTTAAGGTCTAAATTTTAAAGAGGAATTTCTAAACAAGAAATTTTCTAGTTTTCAAATAAATTTTTTWAAAATTCTGGTTATGGACTCAAGTGATGATGATGATTATGATGACTGTATCAATATTCACTAAATTCTCACTGTGTCAAGCACTACACTAAGCAGTTTTTCAATCTCTAAAAATTTCTGAGGTTATTATTACTCGCAGTTAATAAAGTTAATACAGACTACTTAWTAATAAACACTTAAAATCCATATTATACAAAATCAATTTAATAAGGGGGATATAATTATCATAGCCTTCAAATTATTTTTTAAAGGAGCCCTTTTTAATTTTCCAGCCTTTTCTATTATTACTGCCCTWTATATTCCCAAAGGGGCTGCTATAAGTATACCAATACCCTCTTGATTTTATATTTTTGTTCACATAGTTTCCTCTCCTTTACATGCTACTCCCTCAGTCAATGGTCAAAATCTCATTTAAAAATGTATTTATTATAGGCTAAAATCTTCCAAGATCAAGCCTCTACCTTAAATTCCACTCCAGCCACATTTCCTTTTTTTTTTTGTAAATATCTCCAAAGAGTTGTTTACATTCACTATCTTCACTTCTTCATCTGCTATGCAGCCCTACAATCTGGTCTCTGCCCTAATCAGTCCACTAAAACATCACTTTAAAAAAATCATCAATAATCTTCACTATAGTACATCCATTAGATGTACTATTTAACTTCTCAATAGTATTCTTCTTATTTGATCATTTTGGCCATTTTMTTTGGCTTCTATGATTCTAAACACTTTTGAGTTTTCTTTTAGTCAACTTAAATGAATTAAGAGACAGATCCACTTGTCTTATCTTTCATATGTTCAACATATCTTAAACACATTATGTCTAAACTGAAATCATAATTTTTCTCTTCAAACCTCATTTCTACTAACATTCATTCAGTGAAGCCAGTCATTACTCTTTCACCACTATCTTTGGAGACTTCTGAAGCTTGAGCTACCACTAGCCATGCTATGAGACAGTATCAAAGAATATTTACAATTATCAGTGAGGTGGATATCCTTCATATATTTACATGAATTAATCAAGTAAATGAAAAAGTGTGAAAATATCTGGTCTTCTGGAGAAATTTAATATTGTTTTATAAATAAGTAATTTATATGAATAAAATATATATTCTAATAGGTTGAAAACAAAAACACATATGAGAATCCAGTTATCTATTATTAAATTAGGAATCAAGAAATTTGCAAGAATGTGATAATGCCAAAAGGTTTGAGAACCACTAACACGTGGAAATGTGAGAAAAAATTAACCTATATTTATATTGCAGGAGCAATGACAAGTGCAAAACAGATATAAAAAAATTATTGACCATARCTAATTTCAAAGCCACTCTTCTGAATTAATCTGTTCAGATTAGATAAAAGTATGAGTATGCAGAGCCTATTATAAAGAATATCAAAAGTAAGTTGGTGTTGAATTTTAATGTACAAGGAAGAGGAAACAATTGATAATTTCTGATAAAAGAAAATAGACAAGGGTTTATAAGAAATATTATGGTAACATTGTATAGTATATGTCCTGAAATACTATACTATTTTTCTAGTTATTCTAAAAAGCATATACTGCTGCATACTTTTACAAAATAGAGATAACAATATAATCTAACATGATTAAGATAATCTTAAAATATACTTACATTTGGGCTCATCTGTCGTAACAGCCAAAATAAAATCATATGGAGTCATGAATAACTGCCCTTCACATTCTATAGATGCAAACAAACGAAATCGCCTTTCCCTAGATGTAGCGTAGAGATCTAAGTCTTCAATATCTGTTCTGCCAACAGCAACCTAAAGTTAATAAAGCAAATAAATTTTGAATGTGTGAAACAACTTCTCCTTTTAGAAGATAAATATCTTTAATTATGTTAATAGTAAATTAATCAAGTAATGAAAAAGTGTGAAAATATTTGGTATTCTGGAGAACCTTCATCATTTTATAAATAAGTAATTTACATGAATAAAATGAATCAAAAGACTCTACTTTGAATGTCATTAAAGACTTGAAGATTTCTGAATAGGCACTTCAAAGATTTATTATTTTTTGAGTGGTTTATATCTTAAGTTTTGGTTGTAGAGAACATTAAATTACAGAGCCAGTGGTACCTTTAGTGAAAACACCAACACTTGCTGAATGCTTACCATGTACCCTCTATATACTTCTTTATTTGATTAGAAGTCAATTCACTTAAGTCCATTAATTTTCTAAAAGGAGAAAGTAAAGCCTGATATGCTGCTCATGACTATCACTAAGGTAATCATACAGAAGTAATGGTTCAATTAAAGTTGGAATTACTAAATCTAGATCATTATGGTATATTAACCACCAAGAGTCATTCTGAATTTTGCCTAGAGTCAAGATGAACAGAATTAGAAGTTTGGGGGGGGGGGGGGTCCTGTTTTTGTTCATTTCCTTATAGACAATTTTCCATTGTTATTTATTTTCTTTCTGAACTAAATATAGGAAATTAATTTTTAATAGAAGGATTTCCTGATTATAAAATTAATGTCTATACAATGTAGAAGCATTTTTAAATATTTATAGATATATCGTATCATTTTTGGCAAAAGAAATGGAATTAAACTATTTATGCTATTCAATAATCAGAACTTCATTAAATATATCAGGGCCACTTTCCTATGCCATTAGGATATTCTAGTAGCTACTGCATATAATTGGAAGATAGAATTTAAAAATCAATAGATATAATTATTTTGCTTTCTTTTTTGAAAAAAATGGGATTATACTACATACAGAGTTTAGTAATCTATAGTCTTTTTAACTATTAGGACCATTATCCTATGTCACTATTAAAGTAGAAGACTATTTTGAAAAACTACAATATTTCATGGTAAGATTTTATAAATAATAATAAACAATTCATCGTGGCTAAATATTCAGATGATTTTTAGCTTTTTACTATTATAAAACAATGGTATAATAATCAGCTTGCCAGGCGAGGTGGCATACACCTGTAATCCCAGCAGCACAGGAGGCTGAGGCAGGAGGATCACAAGTTCAAAGCCAGTTTCAGCAATATTGAGATGCTAATAAGCAACTCAGTGAGACCTGTCTCTAAATAAAATATAAAATAGGGGATGTGAGTCAAGTACCCTTTAGTTCAATTCCCAGAACTCCAAGCCCCGCCTCAAATCAGGCTTGAAAATATTTAGAAATATCCACAAGTAGTTCCTTGGGATTAATTCCTATGAGTAGAATTGGTTAGGCAAGACCTTTTTATACATCCTAAAGGAGTTTTTAGTTATTTATGGGCTCACCAACAATATGTAAATTTTCACATATTTCATAAAACTAATTTATATTAGAAAAACTTCTTATTTAGGATGGCAAGTTTATTATCTTTATTGTCTCTATTTTTTGCCTATTGAGTCTTAAAGCAAATTATGTACAAAATATTAAAGTTAATTAAGTATCTCATACTTTGGGAAATCAAAACAAGCTATCCAAAAGAATTGTCAACAAAGAGACTACTTTTTTATTTCTAAGTAACACTTTATTAAATGAAAAGTCAGACAAATGATGTTTTCCATCATTTTGAAGATGATGACATTTCAAAACATTACACAAATAATTAAATAAACACTAAAAGAAAAAAAATTTCACTCCCTACTTTTTCTTTCCTTTTTTTTTTTTTTTTTTTTTTTTGCAGTACTGGGGATAGAACCCAGGGCCTTGTACATGACATTGGTCAAGGATTCTGAGCTACATCCCTAGTCCCATTCCCCGTTTTCTGATGGTATGTACATGAAAAGGAATAAGGGGTGTCTGACTTTAACATGTTTACAATCTATGTAGAATAACACAATATTAGTTGGAAAAAGAAAAGATACAAACATGGAGAAAGTAATAAGTTGTCAAATGAAAGTAAATAGAAAAAAAAGTACTATAGGTTGATGTTAAAAAGAAGTTTTCCTTAAGGGCATCTGGGTTGGTTCCACAGTCTAGCTATTGTGAATTGTGCTGCTATGAACATCGATGTGGCAGCATCCCTGTAGCATGCTCTTTTAAGGTCTTCAGGGAATAGTCCGAGAA